TCACTTAAGTTGCTTTTGATCCAGCTCCATGCCAAGATTAAATAAGATTCCATAAGATTCTTATGGATACTTCAGTTTTTCCAGTGCATTTGATATATCTTCTAATGCAAGACAGCGGTGTAGCTGTTAGCGCTTGTGCTTCAGAGCAAGAAGACATTGGGTTTGATTCCACCTCCAGACGAGGCCTTTCTGTGTGGAGAAAAACATGTACAATAGGTCCGGCATGCGCCTCCATTAGCGAGAGGAAAAAATACTCACAATAATTGTAGCGCGCTTAGAGACTCTCTGTGAAAGAAGCTTTTTGAACAAAGATTAAGAGAACCTTTATTTGTTCCACAGTGGGGACATTTTGGTAAAGAGCACACAGGGAGCACCCAAATTATACAGAGATAATTAGCTGTAAATGCTTCATAATTGGAGATTACCGACTTGCCATAGCATCTATGATGGCCATGGATATGGATATGCTTTTTCTGAAATCGAATCCTTCGTTAAATAGCTATCTATTGTCATACATTTTCGGAGGATTTTTTGATAATTCAGGAAGGAGATCAGTAATTGGTAAATTGATGGTTTTACCTCCTGTGTTTTGTTCCTGTCTTTTGAAGTGAGACTGAAGTTCTATCGACCCCGTGTTCTATTGATTTCGAACACGTGTCTATCGCAATATTTATCGTTATCGTTTTATCGCCCAACCCTAGGTCATCTACATTTGTTGAATTTCGGAAGGACCGATTTCCTATTATTTTGTTTTTGTTTTATGGCTCATATATTCAATCATATATCCAAACATTGCAGGGGAAAAAACTGGTATGCTACAGAAAAGTCTTTTCATGGGAGTTGCATTTTTGAAAATCCCATACTTTGATAACAACAATCAAACACTTGGAACAAAAGTGTGAAAGAAATCAAATCAGAAAAGGTGAAGGCTCAGTAGGAGTTTTTTTCTAAAAGGAATCCTGAATGAAGATCTGCCAAAGAGCGTCTTTGAAGGGCGCCACAAGGACGGAGAGGGAGTGCCGGCGGTGTGGCTATCCTCACACAAACGCCCTCTCCAGTTTGCACATTAGGGCCCTGGGCTAAGAAAAACAGATTGAACTATACAGCCTTGTTCAAGAAGATTTTTTTTCTTCTTCTTCTGTGTCCAACATCTGAGATCGAAAATCCCTTTGCTTGCATTAAAGTTGTTTACAAAGCGACGAGCTCCTTTTGATTGTGAATATTTGTATGCAGTGGTTTAGCTGGAAAACATTTCTCTGACCTTGTCGCGGTGTTGTACTGGGACTTAAGTGTTTCCCATTGATCACACGGCAACTGCGAAGCCAGAATATTGCACAAAGGAAAGTGTGGACTCATCTGATAGGAGAAATAGTCCATTTGTTTACTGATTGGGACAAAGATACGAAATGTGGTTTTGAGGATGTATGATTTCACATTCTTAGATTAAAAATGATAGTTTTTGGTTAAATTGTTTGAACTGGCATTGTTGAAATGTGACAATAGACATACATTACTGGTATTCTTCTGGTTATTTTTATTAGATTTTAATTTTTTTGTTTTCAATTCAATTACTTGTTATGTTCTTAATCACAGAAGCAGTTGTCTCAGAAGACTTTACAAAGTTGTTGATTCGCCAACACAGATCAGAGAGTCAAACAGTTTGTAGATAGGAAATTCAAAAATAACGAAAACATAGGAGCCATTGGTCCATATGAGGCGGATGACCAATGTTCATAGTGTCCTTATGTATCCAGGATCATCATTTTCCACTGTCCTCAGATCCTCCTGCATTGGCAAGGAATAACTAAAGTGGGAAAATTCAGGAAGGCCCCCATTGAGCGAGGGATCCACTCTCACGGACTCAAAGGCTACAATTCAGGACTTGTAGAACGAGGACTGAGGCCATGTGGTGCAGGACCGAGGCCAATATATGCGTATATTTCTGTGGACTTCCCTGCGTCGGCTCTCAGCTGTTCACATAAACATACTGGGGAGCAGGAATGAGTGCTCTGGAGATCAACAGCTGATAGATGCAGGAAGGTCCAAGGACAGTGGTGAGGATCCAGGACACTCGACCTTCAACAACATTTATGGACTTGATCAACATTTATGGACATTGGTCATCTGCCCCTTATGGACGAATGGCTCTATGTTTTTTTTATCACTGCATTTCTTGTGTTTGATCCTCTGATAAGATAAGATAAGAGAGATCCTTTATTGGTCTGATCTGTGTTGGCGAAATAAACGGTTCTCCAAGATAATACTGTTGTGATTTAGGGCTATACAAAAATAGATTGAATTGAGTTGATATAGAGAGAGGCATTGGCCGCATCACCATTAAGGCAGCAGGGTTCGAATAACTTGAAAAATATGGCGGCTTATACTTATATGTTTGGATCGAAACCATCCATACGTGCGTTCTCCAACAACACGACGGACAGTTCTGCTTTCTCCACTCCTCTCCTGAGCTACTGCACAATGTTGTGAGGAGAATTGAATGAACTGCCTTCCCTGGGAGACTAATCATATCAGGGCTGCTGAGTGCTGGCTCTCTGGTTAGCTTAACAGAATGCTTGACAGGACAAAATCATGTGTTGTTCTCTGCCGGATAACAACCCTTAGCCCCTCCTAGTACGATACACTACATACAACAGCAGGTTTTTCAGATCCACCAGGGGGAAGAGTCAGAGAGACGGAGCGGGGGTGGATGTGAGTGACACCGAGGAGCAAATGGGCTGGTGGAGTGGCCCTCTTGTACGCCGCCGCTGCACACATACAAATAGAAAAAGCAGTCACTTCAAAGCTGCTCGAGATGGAAGGCGCTCTTGAAATGAAGTATGGCAAATTACTTCATAAGCTGAATCCTTAACATGCTGATAAATATTTGATGGCGCAGAGAAGTGTAGCGGCAAGGACAGCCAGCAGCTAGTCTTGGAATGAGCATGTGTGCAGAGAGATTATATCATCACTTACAGATTCATGTGATTTAGTTGAATTGGAAACACTTTTGAGGTTGGTGTTTTGACAATTCAGATTCAGTTTGTCATTTGCAGGAAAACCACATTGGAATACATGTGCAAAACTACCCCATGTGTGCGCCAAGCAAGTACATACAATAAAACAAGATCAAAAGTATAAGAAATAATTTTTGGAAAGAAGCAAACAATATCTATACTGCCAGAGGGAAGAAGCTGGAACATGGCTTTTCCAAAGTGGCCAGATGAGGCATTGATTATTTGAAGAGCTCGATTGAAGAGTCTGGATTCATGAAGAACCTCCGGAACAGGCAGCTCACGGCTCACAGTCCTCTTTGCGGATGGAGAAATTCACAAAAAGCTGCAATTCTGTATCAACTGGAAAAGCCCTCACAGGTGCAGGTCCATTCTTTTATTAAAATACTGCTTCCAGACAGTTTGGATCACCTCCAAAATGTAATCAGTTCCTCTTCGGGCCATTGCACAAGTTTAGAGAAATGTTCGTCCAAATCCTTCAATGATTCTTTGAGGTATATTTTTGCTCACAGACAAAAGGACAGTCAAACAAACGCTGGTGATTACAGAAGACATTTTTTATTTAAAGAATAAAATGTGGATTATTGTTAGTAGAATGTCTGCATTTAGTGTCAGCAGTATATTGAACAGACACATAGATGAAAGAATTACATGTTTGCACCACTATCCGGATCTGGATTGACTTTTCACAGATTTTTCAATAAAAAATTCAAACCCCAAAGATGCACGCAACTGTTTATGGATGTTGAAGAGTGTAGGTGAAAGAGCCACATTATTGCATTAAATGTTCAAACGTTCGAGCCTCCTATGATGAAGAAAGGATTATGCAGCAATGTTTACATTTCTATTATTCACATGATATTTGCTGACCCAGCAGTGGAAGAGCCCTTAGAAACTGCTCAAACCCCCGTGCTGCATTACAATAGAACTGCACCTGCTTCCTTTCTCCTTTTGGACATAATCTATCTCTGAAAGGCACTGTCCTCCTTTTCAACGCACTCCTGGGGATTAAACATTCCATTTCCAGAAATTACAGCTGATAAAGTTTTCGAGTGCGGCGGATGGCCCTCTTTCTAGTTTTGTAATAGTTTCAAATGTTTCTATTATTATTTCATTGTTATAGACTCCGACAGAGCACAGTAAAGAAACGTAAAGAAGTAAAGAAAAAGAAGAAACTTATTTCTCCACTATTCTTTGGTCTGTAACGTGCTGTAACGATTGGACAGAAGGGCTTTGAGAGCTTAGACCTCCATCTATGAATCAATCGATCAATATTAATTGATTAATAAATGCAATTAGAAAAGTATGTGAAAGGTTGACAATATTCTCTTTACCAAGCAGTTGTTTCAAAAGACAGATATATTTTAGTGAAATTAAAATACATTTTCCACCCTTTTCCACTCATTTTTAGACATTTAATGCCAATCAAAAAACGTGTTTGTGATGAAAAAAAACAAAAAACAGTTAATCATTCTTTAAGAGTCCAATTTGTATTACTCAATACATGTGGTTTTGTGAAAGGAAACTCACCAGAAACTGCTTTAGCCAGGGGCCGCAAATTGAGGGAATTAAATCCAAAAGGTTGCAATCTGTAAATATTGTATTTTAATTACATTATTCATGTCTGTTTACGGGTAGAAAGCCCAACATCATTTCGTGGAACAAATAAATAAGTGAGAACATCTGTATGGAGACAAGTTTATGGAAGAAGCCTTTATAGGACAGTAAGTTGTTGGAGAGTTTTTTGATTTTGTTTTTTGTATTGTATCGTAGCATGTGTTTGAATGGCTGAGAGGGGAGTGGATTAAAATAAACTTTTTACTTCAACCAATCCCTTTCCAAACCAGGCACAGGTTTTCTTCTGTGAATAATTGTTAGCATATCTCCTGCATGTTTGAAATATATAAACAAATGAAACAACTGTGTTTTTTCACTTTGCCGTGTTCAAAGAATTCTCACTCCTTCTCGCCATCTTTGCACTAATTATTTTCAAACATCACTTTTGCACAGCGGCAGACGCACAACATCACAGGAGAAACTCTTAATAGTAATTGCAGTGATGACGTTGCGGTGGCGGCGCGTGGGTGGGTGCTCCTCTAAAGTCAACACGGTGCACGGCTCTTGTCCCGGTGCTAATGGGGCAGACAGAGCACAGGTGTAGGTAAGTGTTCTTATGTGAGTGACCTATTTTAGTTTCTCTTGATAATCACGGTGGAATACATGGTGTTCCCAGCCGGCACCAGACACATGCAAATTACGAGTACGCTGTTAAGGCTTATCCAATCACTTCACGGGTACGGCGAGATACACACTTCCACGAGAGAATGATGCACGTCGATTCATGGTGTTGTGTTTTTCAGGTTTTTAGAATCTTCCAAGGACAAAAAAAGGAGAAGGCATTGTTGACCTTGTGTAAGGATTTAACAGACAGAGACGGATCGTGGTGTGCCAAACTCTGGAAGTTTATTTAAGTTTCTCTCAAGTTCCACTGTTTTACTCTGTTTCTTTTCCTCAGACAGAATAAAGGCAGTACACAGTTTATATAGTCATTGTCACGTCACACATCGAAAGACATACGTGTCACAAAGAGACAGTCAAATCATAGTCATAACATGGAGTCCTTGTAGAGTCCTTGTACAGTCCTGCACGTAGGCCATATTGCTATCTAATACTAATACCCTCCCCTTTGATCACATAATCACATGTGATCACTCAATTTGATCAATCAATAAAGTGGAAAAAGAAAAAAAAAATTCCCAAAAAAAAACTTTAAAAAATTATTAAAAACAAAGAAAATGTATGCATTAAACTCATAATCATCAAATCAATATCAGTGGATTTTATCCTCTATCCTGGGAAAAAACAAACAAACAAAAACAAACAAACAAATCAAAAATAAAAACAAACAAAAATAAAAAACAAACAAAAACTATTGGACACACAAGAACTCAGCAGATTCAGTCAAAACACAGACAAAAACGAGCTGAGTCTCAAATTTGAAGCTAATTTCACTTTTATTACTCTATACTTTTATTCTAATGCTAATTGTTTACACTTCACTTCACTTATTTCACTGTATTATTTTCACTTTTTAATCTTACACTGTGTACTTTACTCTCTATTTACAAATATGTTTGCATATTTGCTTCTATTGAGCCATATTCTTAAACTAATAAATCTCTCTGTGGTTTTACACTCTCATTATCAGTGGCTTATTATCAGTGGGATTTTGTTCCATGTCTATTCTCATTCTCAGGAATAAAACTGAACACAGTAAGGCAAATGGTTAATATGAACATTATTATGGCGGTCAGTTTTCCAAATATTTGTTGAACCAGGAAGTGCTGTCACTTCCTCCTCTCAGGCAGATTGGGATGAATGTACATCTTTAATCAAATTAGAACTATCCTTACAAGAGCTAATCTACTTTAGCAGGTTTGGGGTTGGGGTCAGTTATTATTATTCTACAATGGTGTTTGATTCTAATCTGTGCTGGTGAATCTACAGCTTTTTAAACTTCTCAAAGATATCCAAATATCTACTATTTTGTTTTTGTGCTATACACAAATACATCAAAATGCTTTTGAATCTCTCTTGGTGCTAATCTATCTCATTGATCTAGGCATTAATCTAGGCTACACTCATATGGACTTTTTGCATAGTCAACATTCACTCATGTGTGAACACAAGTGAATTTGGCAAGTATCTAATAAAACTGTACATAAACTGTAATTAACTTTATCTACTTTTGAAGTAAATGTTTGTGAAATGGTCCCTTTACCATTTGATATTAGCACTGGCTAGAAATAATCTCTTTTTTTGAAAGCATCTATGGTTGATGTATTTATCTATTCCTATTTTTACTCTATTTTTTAACTCAAAAGCTCGGCTGCAGCTTGAGCAAAGGCATATTTCTAATTTGTGACTTCTGTCACTTTTAATATCTCTAACATACTCTGATTCTAATATTATAGCTGATCTATCAAAAGGATAACATTGTAGGGTACTATTTTAACTCTTATGTGGAAATGTGTATGAAAAACAAAGGAAGTCAAATTCTACTCTTTTACTACTATTTAACATCTACTAAAACGCTACAATACTTATACTTTATCATTTTCAAAGTTTTTAACAGTTGCTCAGTCTACCAGACTAAAAAAGTCAAAGTTTTTGTCTGTCAGATGTCTGAATACTTAACATGTATATTGCATTTGGTCACAGGTTCTGGTTGTAGCAATAGCATCGGCAATAGACGTTTTCATTGGCTGGTTCTTGTTCTGCAAATGGCTGTGTCCAATAGATCATCAGATGTCCAGAAGCTAGGGACAAACAAAAACAAAAGAAAGAATCATGAGTATCTCTCTCATTTAGCACTCATCAATGTATGATTTCAAAAATATAAACATCACTCCCCAGTTTTCTCTCTCAGGTCCTCAGATCCTCAGGTCCTCAGGGTCCCCTGAGGGTGAGTCTCAGTCGTCATCAGGTCAGGTCATATTTCGAGAGATGTCATCTTGGACATCAGTAGGGTCCAAGCCATGGTTCTGGTCACTCCAGTTGGACATCAGGATCTCCAGATACACTCTTTTCACTTGAAGCACATCAGGTCATTTGCGATGCACTTCTGGTCAATGGTGCAGTGTCACAGTTCCTGTACACAGCTTGTTATGCAGTAGTTACTTTCTATGGTTAAATCACTTTGATTCTACTTTAACACAATTTCTATTCATGCTGTTGCTAATGTCCCTCAGACAAAAAGCAAGCGCAGTTTACTTCTCTAATTTGTGTTTTTATCAGATCTAATTCTCATCAATGTAATTACTTCACACAGTACAAAATCAACAAATCAAAAGTGTCAGGACAGACGTCAATTATGTCCATGACAATATAGAATTCAAATGAACATTTCTGGTCTCAAAAAATACTGATTCAACTAAAGATTCAAGTGATAGACAATTAAAAATATGTGTTTACATTGGAGTAAACTTTTAAAATGCTTTTTCTCATGTTCTGCTTTTTCATGTATCTATATGTAAATGTGAATGTGTGAGTGTATGAGTGTGTATGTGTGTGTGTGTGTGTGTGTGTATGAATTTTGGGGTTGTCTCTCCAGACTCCACGAACCACCTGTAGGTCTCAAAGGTCACACTGTGGTGATGTAAACCAACTGGACACACTTTCAACTCCCTCTAGGTCTCTACCTGACGCTCCACCCATCACGTCTCCAGAAACCTCTCTTTCATGGCCCCGGTCTCTCTCCCACTTACTTCTGTAGTGGGGGGAGGGGCAAGGAGGTGGCATTTCCCTTTGCTCTTAGCTCTGTGACCTGTGGCTGGGTGGGCTTTGCGCTGTCCAGTGTCCAGCAGTGACCCCTCCCACAGTGTGCCAGAGTCTGAAAAACAATCCTTGAAACAGCCAATTCAAAAAACAATAGATATCAGTATGCGAATGAGATTGTTTTTCTCTCTGAAGTCAAAACAATTTGAGCGCTCTGGGTTTTCCCAAGCGCTATGTAAATAAAGATTACTTATTCTCTTACTAATGATGACATTTTAAAACCAGAAACTAAAGAAGTTATCAAAACAACAATTATACTCAAAACAAACAACCTTTTAGACTTTAAAACATGTATTATATACTTTTGTACTGTGTGATTAATTATCTATGCGTCCTTGGGTTTCTTGAAAGACGCCATGAAATGAAATTATGAAAAATCTCTATAAAAATGAACATTAATTTGTAAAAACATTTAAAACAAAACTTGAAATCAAACAAAAGATTTAGCTCCAGCTAAACTGGATTTGGTTCAATAAAACTCAATTGTGCGTCGGAGCTGCCTCCTCATGTCTCTGAGCAGCAGCAAGGTCACGCGTGTAGTCAAAACAAAAACAAAAGTCACCGCTTGAATGTGAATTGGGTGAATTGGGTAGTTTAACTTAATAATATAATACTTTTACAGCCTAATTAGGCCCGAGCCCCGAACGGGGTAAGGGCCTATTGCTTTCACAATGGTGAAAACAAATGGTGGCGGTGAGTGACGGACGCGTCAGCGCCCGTCACTCACCAAAACGTGACGGTTGCGTGCGTAAACTCGAACACTTTAAAATGATGTATCACGTGCCATTAAAACCTATATTGTTTTTGCTCGAGACGTCGAAAAAAAAAATTCCTTTTTAGGCCCGAGCCCCGAACGGGGTAAGGGCCTATTGCTTTCACAATGGTGAAAACAAATGGTGGCGGTACGTGACGGACGCGTCAGCGCCCGTCACTCACCAAAACGTGACGGTTGCGTGCGTAAACTCAAACGCTTTAAAATGATGTATCACGTGCCATTGAAACCTATATTGTTTTTGCTCGAGACGTTAAAAAAAAAATTCCTTTTTTATTTCTTTCTTTCTTTTTTCTTCTGCACTTTGAGCCTTAATTTGACCCCCTGAACATGCATGAAAAGTTGTTAAATTTTGCCCAAAAATCAGACCTGGCGAAAAATTTGATATTTTGGTGTTTATTTTTATGGGACTCAAAAAATGACTGAACAGCGCCACCTACAACAGCCAAAATAATACCCCTATGGGAGTTTTGGAGATCAAGTTTGTCGTAAAGCCATGAAATTTGGTACACATGTTCCTCAAGTCAAGACGAGAAAAAAATATTATTATGGCCCCGCCCTCTGACAAACAGGAAGCCCATAAATTTCACTGCAAAATGGAAAAATGAACAGCAAAAGTTTTCATACATGTCGGTTGGAAAGCGACTCCTCCTCGGCCGTTTCACCGATTCGCCTCAAAATCGCTCCACATCATCTCAACACATGTACCTTCAAAATGACCTCAGGGATTTTTGATCAGTGAAACATTGTTCGAGCAGCGGAGCGGCAAAATGTGACCTTTTTTTGGCCGTTTTTGACAACATTAAATTTGCTCCCGTTTGCACAAACAAAGTCTGATTTGCACAAAACTTTAATACATTGTTCAACTCTAGGGTCTAGGTCATTTGAAAGTTAATTTATTCAAATTGACACATTAGCACCCCCTACAGACTATTTCAACGTTTTAGATGGGCATTTTCAAATTCAGTTTTTTCAAAATGTTTGAAATTTTGCACATACATCTGTTTTGCCCTCTTGATTCAAAAAGTCAATAGGGTCCAAGGCTTATTTTTTACCCTGTTGCCGCGGCGACGACAAATGCGCCCCATTCATTGCAAATGTACACCTCACACAAACATCAAACCAGTCTCGGCCGTTTCACCGATTCGCCTCAAAATCACTCCACATCATCTCAACACATATACCATCAAAATGACTTCAGGGAATTTTGATCAGTGAAACGTTATTTGAGCAGCAGAGCGCTAGAAAGTGGCGTATTTTTTTTCAGTTTTTGACAATAGAAAAATTGCTTCCGTTTGCACAAACAAAGTCTGATTTGCACAAAACTTGAATCCATGGTTCAACTCTTGGGTCTAGGTAATTTGAAGGTTAGAATTTTGAAATTGGCTCTATAGCGCCACCTACAACAGCCAATTTAAAAATGCCTATGGGAGGGGTTTGAGGTCAAAATTTTCGTAGAACCATGTAATTTGGTACACATGTTCCTCAAGTCAAGACATGGAAAAAATCTAATTATGACTAATCCCTCCGACAAACAGGAAGCCCATAAATTTCACTGCAAAATGGAAAAATGAAAACCAATCATTCTCATACACGTCGGTTGGAAAGCGACTCATCCTCGGCCGTTTCACCGATTGGCTTCAAAATTGTTACAAATCATCTCAACACATTTACCTTCAAAATGACTTCAGGGATTTTTGATCAGTGAAACGTTGTTTGAGCAGCGGAGCGGCAAAATGTGAGGGTTTTTTTGGCCGTTTTTCACAACATACATTTCTTCCCCGTTTGCACAAACAAAGACTGATTTTCATTAAACTTGAATCCATTGTTCAACTCCAGGGTTTAGGTCAGGTAAAAAGTGAAATATTTGAAATTGGCCCATTAGCGCCCCCTAAAGACTGAGTCAAAGTTTAAATGGGGAGCCAAACCAGCTCTACTTATCATATTCATTACAGTTTGACTAACAATCTTCTATGGCTACGGGAGCAAATCATCACACAACGGCGCCACCTCCTTTGAGCGGTGCTGCGTGGTACGGTGTGGTGCGGCGTAGTGCGGGGCGTTGTGGAGCGGCGCATTGCGGCTTGGTGCGGCTTGGTGCGGGGCGGCGTGAGGCGGGACAGCGTGGTGCAGGGCGGCGTGGTGCGGGGTGGCTTGGTGCGGGGTGGCTTGGTGCAGGCCGACGTGGAACGGGGTGGTGCGCGCGGTGCGGGGAGTCGCGCGTTGCGGCGAGGGCCGTTCGACGCCGCTTGCGGCTTTAATTTATTTCTTTCTTTCTTTCTTTCTTTCTTTCTTTTTTCTTCTGCACTTTGAGCCTTAATTTGACCCCCTGAACATGCATGAAAAGTTGTTAAATTTTGCCCAAAAATCAGACCTGGCGAAAAATTTGATATTTTGGTGTTTATTTTTATGGGACTCAAAAAATGCCAGAACAGCGCCACCTACAACAGCCAAAATAATACCCCTATGGGAGTTCTGAAGATCAAGTTTGGTGTAGAGTCATGAAATTCGGTACACATGTTCCTCAAGTCAAGACAAGAAAAAAATATTATTATGGCTCCGCCCTCTGACAAACAGGACGCCCATAAATTTCACTGCAAAATGGAAAAATGAACAGCAAAAGTTTTCATACATGTCGGTTGGAAAGCGACTCCTCCTCGGCCGTTTCACCGATTCGCCTCAAAATCGCTCCACATCATCTCAACACATGTACCTTCAAAATGACCTCAGGGATTTTTGATCAGTGAAACATTGTTTGAGCAGTGGAGCGGCAAAATGTGACCTTTTTTTGGCCGTTTTTGACAACATTAAATTTGCTCCCGTTTGCACAAACAAAGTCTGATTTTTACAAAACTTTAATACATTGTTCAACTCTAGGGTCTGGGTCGGTTGAAAGTGAATTAATTCAAATTGACACATTAGCGCCCCCTACAGACTATTTCAAAATTTTAAATGGGCATTTTCAAATTTAGTTTTTTCAAAATGTTTGAAATTTTGCACATACATCTGTTTTGCCCTCTTGATTCAAAAAGTCAATTGGGTCCAAGGCTTATTTTTAACCCTGTTGCCGTGGCGACGACAAACGCTCCCCATTCATTGCAAATGTACACCTCACACAAACATCAAACCAGCCTCGGCCGTTTCACCGATTCGCCTCAAAATCGCTCCACATCATTTCAACATATGTTCCATCAAAATGACTTCAGGGAATTTTGATCAGTGAAACGTTGTTTGAGCAGCAGAGCGCCAAAAAGTGGTGTATTTTTTTTCAGTTTTTGACAATAGAATATTTTTTTCCGTTTGCACAAACAAAGTGTGATTGGCACAAAACTTGAATCCATGGTTCAACTCTTGAGTCTAGGTCAATTGAAAGTTCAAATTTTGAAATTGGCTCTATAGCGCCACCTACAACAGCCAATTTAAAAATGCCTATGGGAGGGGTCCAAGGTCAAAATTGCCGTAGAACCATGTAATTTGGTACACATGTTCCTCAAGTCAAGACATGGAAAAAATGTAATTATGGCTAAGCCCTCTGACAAACAGGAAGCTCATAAATTTCATTGCAAAATGGAAACATTAAAACAAATCATTTTCATACATGTCGCTTGGAAAGCGACTCCTCCTCGGCCGTTTCACCGATTGGCCTCAAAATTGCTCCAAATTATCTCAACACATGTACCTTCAAAATGACTTCAGGGAATTTTAATCAGTGAAACGTTGTTTGAGCAGCGGAGCGGCAAAAAATGACCTTTTTTTGGCAGTTTTTTTACAACATCAAATTTTCTGCCGTTTTCACATACAAAGTCTGATTTGCACAAAACTTTAATAAATCGTTCATCTCTAGGGTCTAGGCCATTTGAAAGTGAAATAAATTAACTTGGCTCATTAGCGCCACCTACAGATGGGGTCAAAGTTTTTAGTATGGGAGCGTTTTGAGGTCAAGTTTGATGTATAGGCATGAAATTTGGTACACATGTTCCTCTTCTAGAGACATGAAATAAAAGTTATTATGGCCCCGCCCCCTGACAAACAGGAAGCCCATAAATTTCACTTCAAAATGGACAAATGAAACATGATCCTGTTCACACGTGTCGGTTGGAAAGCGGCGACTCCTCGGCCGTTTCACCGATACACCTCAAAATCGCTCCACATCGTCTAAACACATGTACCGTCATTTTGATTTCACAGACTTTTGATCAGTAAAATGTTGTTTGAGCAACGGAGCGCCAAAAAGTGGCGTATTTTTTTTCAGTTTTTGACAATGAAAAATTGCTTCCGTGTGCACATACAAAGTCTGCTTTGCACAAAACTTGAATCCATGGATCAACTCTTGGGTCTAGGTCATTTGAAAGTAAAAAATTTGAAATTGGCTCTATAGCGCCACCTACAACAGCCAATTTAAAAATGCCTATGGGAGGGGTTCGAGGTCAAAATTGTCGTAGACCCATGTAATTTGGAACACATGTTCCTCAAGTCAAGACATGGAAAAAATTGTATTATGGCTAAGCCCTCTGACAAACAGGTAGCCCATAAATTTCATTGTAAAATGTAAAAATGAAAACCAATCATTTTCATACACGTCGGTTGGAAAGCGACTCCTCCTCGGCCTTTTCACTGATTTGCCTTAAAATCGCTCCACATCGTCTAAACACATGTACCATCATTTTGATTTCAGCAATTTTTGATCAGTGAAACGTTGTTTGAGCAGCGAAGCGCCAAAAAGTGGCGTTTTTTTTTTTAGTTTTTGACTATAGAAAAATTACTTCCGTTTACTCAAACAAAGTCCAATTTGCACAAAACTTGTTTTCATGGTTAAACTCTAGGGTGTAGGTCATTTGAAAGTGAAATAATTAAAATGCCAGAACAGCGCCCCCTACAACAGCCAATTTAATACTCCTATGAGAGTTTTGGAGTTCAAGTTTGCCGTAGAGCCATGAAATTTGGTACACATATTCCTCAAGGTAAGACATGAAAAAAATGTTATTATGGCCCCACCCTCTGACAGACAGGGAGCCCATAAATTTCACTGTAAAATGGATAAACGAACAGCAATAATTTTCACACATGTCGTTTGGGAAGCGACTCCTCCTCGGCCGTTTCACAGATTCGCCTGAAAATTGCTCCACATCATTTCAACACATTTACCTTCAAAATGACTTCAGGGAATTTTTATCAGGGAAACGATGTTCGAGCAGTGGAGCGGCAAATAGTGACCTTTTTTGACGATAGAAAAATAGCTCTCGTTTGCACAAACAAAGTTTGATTTGTACTAAACTTGACCCGGTTGTTCTACTCCTGGGCCTGGGTCACCTGAAGGTGTAAAATATTACATTGGCTCTTTAGCGCCTCCTACATACCGAGCTAAAGCTTTACATGGGGAGCCAAACCAACGGATCAATATCACATACATTGGTCTATGGCTATGGTAGCAAATCATGGCGCGGCGCGGCGGCGCCACCTGCGGAGCGGCGAGTCACGCGGGGAGTCACGGGGAGGGGAATTGCGGGTTGCGGCGAGTTGCGGCGAGTTGCGTGGTACGGGGAATCGTAGCGGTAAGGGGAGTCGTAGTGCTGCGGGGAGTCGTAGCGCTGCGGAGAGTCGTAGCGGTGCGGGGAGTCGTAGCGGAACGGAGAGTTGTAGAAGCGCGCGGTGCAGGGAGTCGTAGCGGAGCGGGGAGTCGTAGCGGAGCGGGGAGTCGTAGCGGAGCGGGGAGTCGTAGCGGAGCGGGGAGTCGTAGCGGCGCGCGGTGCGGGGAGTCGTAGCGGTGCGCAGTGCGGGGAGTCGTAGCGGAGCGCAGTGCGGGGAGTCGTAGCGGAGCGCGGTGCAGGGAGTCGTAGCGGAGTGGGGAGTCGTAGCGGAGCGGGGAGTCGTAGCGGAGCGGGGAGTCGTAGCGGAGCGGCAAGGCGCGTGGTGCGGGGTGTCGCGCGGTGTGGCGAGGGCCGTTCGACGCCGCTTGCGGCTTTAATTTCTTTCTTTCTTTCTTTCTTTCTTTTTTCTTCTGCACTTTGAGCCTTAATTTGACCCCCTGAACATGCATGAAAAGTTGTTAAATTTTGCCCAAAAATCAGACCTGGCGAAAAATTTGATATTTTGGTGTTTATTTTAATGGGACTCAAAAAATGCCGGAACAGCGCCACCTACAACAGCCAAAATAATACCCCTATGAGACTTTTAGAGATCAAGTTTGTCGTAGAGCCATGAAATTTGGTACACATGTTCCTATAGTCAAGACAAGAAAAAAATATTATTATGGCCCCACCCCCTGACAAACAGGAAGCCCATAAATTTCACTGCAAAATGGAAAAATGAACAGCAAAAGTTTTCATACATGTCGGTTGGAAAGCGACTCCTCCTCGGCCGTTTCACCGATTCGCCTCAAAATCGCTCCACATCATCTCAACACATGTACCTTCAAAATGACCTCAGGGATTTTTGATCAGTGAAACATTGTTCGAGCAGCGGAGCGGCAAACTGTGACCTTTTTTTGGCCGTTTTTGACAACATTAAATTTGCTCCCGTTTGCACATACAAAGTCCGATTAGCACAAAACTTTAATACATTGTTCAGCTCTAGGGTCTAGGTCATTTGAAAGTTAAATGATTCCAATAGACTCATTAGCGCCCCCTACAGACAATTTCAAAGTTTTAGATGGGCATTTTCAAATTTAGTTTTTTCAAAATGTTTGAAATTTTGCACAAAAATCTGTTTTGCCCTCTTGATTCAAAAAGTCAATAGGGTCCAAGGCTTATTTTTTACCCTGTTGCCGTGGCAACGACAAACGCTCCTCATTCATTGCAAATGAACACCTCACACAAACATCAAACCAGCCTCGGCCGTTTCACCGATTCGCCTCAAAATTGATCCACATTATCTCAACACATGTACCATCAAAATGACTTCAGGGAATTTGGATCAGTGAAACGTTGTTTGAGCAGCGGAGCGCCAAAAAGTGGCATAATTTTTTTCCGTTTTTGACAATAGAAAATTTGCTTCCGTTTGCACAAACAAAGTCTGATTTGCACAAAACTTTAATCCATGGTTCAACTCTTGGGTCTAGGTCATTTGAAAGTAAAAATTTTGAAATTGGCTCTATAGCGCCACCTACAACAGCCAATTTAAAAATGCCTATGGGAGGGGTTTGAGGTCAAAATAGTCATAGAGCCATGTAATTCGGTAGACATGTTCCTCAAGTCAAGACATGGAAAAAATGTTATAATGGCTAAGCCCTCTGACAAACAGGAAGCCAATAAATTTCATTGCAAAATGGAAAAATGAAAACCAATCATTTTCATACATGTCGGTTGGAAAGCGACTCCTCCTCGACCGTTTCACCGATTGGCCTCAAAATTGCTCCAAATTATCTCAACACATTTATCTTCAAAATGACCTCAGGGAATTGTGATCAGTGAAACGTTGTTTGAGCAGCGGAGCGGCAAAATGGAAAGTTTTTTGCTGCCGTTTTTGACAACATTAATTTTTTTCCTGTTTGCACATACAAAGTCTGATTTGCATCAAACTTGAACCCATTGTTCAACTCCAGGGTTTAGGTCAGGTGAAAGTGAAATATTTGAAATTGGCCCATTAGCGCCCCCTACAGACTGAGTCAAAGTTTACATGGGGAGCCAAACCAGCTCTACTTATCATCATATTCATTACAATTTGACTAACAATCTTCTGTGGCTACGGAAACAAATCATCACACGGTGGCGCCACCTCCTTTGAGCGGTGCTGCGTGGTACGGTGTGGTGCGGCGTAGTGCGGGGCGTTGTGGAGCGGCGCGTTGTGGCTTGGTGCGGGGCGGCGTGATGGGGGACGGCGTGGTGCAGGGCGGCGTGGTGCGAGGTGGCTTGTCACGGGGTGGTGCGCGCGTGCGGGGAGTTGCGCGGTGCGGGGGGTTGCGCGGTGTGGGGGGTCGCGCGGTGCGGGGGGGTCGCGCGGTGCGGGGAGTTGCGCGGTGCGGCGAGGGCCGTTCGACGCCGCTTGCGGCTTTAATTATTATTTCTTTTTGCATATTTTTGTATTTTGACATGAGTTTCGATAGTGTTTTCTGGTCGGTTTGGATTCAACCACTATATCAAAAAGAGATGTAATTAAAAGACTGATAGGTAACCGTAAAAAATATGTCTTTGCCCTAATCTTTCCAAAACTGTATTAGTGTAAAGTTATGTGAAATTGTGTTTTGCAGGGTTGAACTAAATCAAACGGACTAACTTCACTTCTAATTGGTAAGTTGAATTCTGTGGTTGTTTTCCTGAAAACAGTATAACATATCATAGTATCCCATTACCACCAATGCTGCAAGTTTCTGCAATAATGATAAGTGAAAATAATTTCAGGGGCTGAATTTGGCCCACTCGCCTGAGTTTGACAATGCCTAAACTAAGGTAACTAAGGTCATTCAGGAAATATTATACATTTAGGATATTATGTTTTATACCCCCAACTGAGTGTAACAATATTGATCACAGTGTAATAAGAACACGCAGCTGTGAACTCATGAACCCCACATCAAACAGAATTCCTTGGGTGAACAATGAACGGTTGTTGAATCATGTTGATGTCTGATGTTTGTTTATTTGTTTTTATTGGATAAAGGGACAGTGTATATTAATGACATCAAATGCCATAAAAGCATTGTTGAGCTCATTCCCATCAGTAGTCCCCTATCTGCATCATGTAGATGCCAACTAGTTTTGATCATTTCCCTGTTTCTACTGTTGGGGGCCCTCTGGTGGCTCTGGGACCCTAAGTGACTGCTAGAATGGCCCGCCCTGTAGAGGTATTACGGAGTAAGATTTCAATGCTGTTAGGCCCGCAGCTCTAATTGGCTTAGACGTCTGGAGTTGGGATTGAGATCCCCTCTGTGACGGGACAGGGCACTGGTTACACTTCTGTCTGCTTTATATGCTAATAGATGACTCTTTATCCACATCCGCTCTGGGCTGCTCCCTGGACTCTGTGGAGGAGGTGAGGGACAGGAGGGTGCTAGTCAAAGTCACCTCTATCATGGACAACACCTCCCACCCACTGCACAGGACTGTAGAGGAGCTGAGGAGCTCCTTCAGTGGAAGACTGATGCCTGGTTCACATGAGACAATCTTAAAATTGTCGGCCAATTTTTAAAAAATCACGGGTCTAACCACTTTGGTCGTACAGTGTGTGGTGCGCAGCCACACGGCAAAATCACGCAAACAACACACATCATACACGAACCGATTTCACCCCCAAGCATTCACAGGTCACCGGAAATCTCACAACATCTCTCGAGATCAAGCGTGACTTCAGAGTAAACAGAGTGTGCGGGCCTTTCCGCTTCACGCAGCCTATAGAGACTCTCGTCTGACCACAGCAGCCACAGGTATACATGTGGATTTTACTGCTCTAAAGTTCTCTGGCCCGTACTGTCTGTGCTGTTCAACAATACAGTTTGTACAGACTACCTGTGAATGCATCACACAGTGCTAGACATCAACGGCCGCAGTAACGGCTGCATCAACACGTCTGTACTGTATTAGGACAGAGTGCAAAGTAAACGTACAAATACAACCCATCAGTCTGATAATTTAGTACTAATCCTGTCCGAACAGGGCTGATGCCAACACTACCTGTGCAGGAGCAATTTCTGCCCAATTCCTCTCCTTGTCATTTCGGTGATGATATTCTTTACACGACACGTCATACATACAGTCCCGGTGTTGCCAGAGGTCAACTAGTTGTTCCTCCATCTCTTATGTCCACCGAACTTTCTGGTGCGCCATGCCGCTGATTGTTTTTTACGGTGTTTCCTCGCCGGCTCGTCTTGTCTTCTGATTGGCTACACGCCGCAGTCATGGCAACGCGCTCGTCTGTCCTCGGGGGACACCACACACGGAGAGAAATCGGGCCAAAACAATCCAACATGTTGGATATCCCCGATATTGAGATCGGAGCAGTCCCGAAGTCCTTCCGAGCGACGAGGACAGTCTTAACACACCACACACGGCAGGAAAATCCATCAGATTTATTGTTACGATATTCGGAGCGTTCTTACGATTGTCGTAGGGGTAAATCGGGTCCAAAATCGGCCTAATTATCCTGCCGTGTGAACCAGGCTTGAGGCAGCCTCAGTGTTAGAGGGAGTAGAGCCCTGCACTTGAGCCCCAGGCCCGGGGGCCCAACAGCCCGAGGACCGGGCTTCGGGCCGATGACTGTATAATTACCTCGGACACGGGTCGGGCTAAGGCACTTTTATTTATTCATTTTCAGTGCGGCATATTACATTTATGAACGCAGCCACTGAATATAGCGTTCTATCACGTTGTAGTATTTGTTGTTCTGTATAGTATTGTCATTGACGACACATAGCGTTACCTTCAAATGTGTTGTAGTTAATTGCGGCATCTGTGTATCATACAACTGCGGCCGTTCACTCTGTACACATCACTACCATGTATAACTCTGCCCAGTGTTCATATCACTGCGCTGCACTATATACTACGCTAAAACATTGTTATGGGAGGTAAAAAAAGAAAATAAATCGGGCTTGATACGTTTTTGGGCCTGAGAATTCAGAAACCATGTCGGGCTGGACCGGGTTAGGGCACCACCCCCTCCGGCCAGGGCCGGGCTCGGGCCCCGATGATAGGCCCATGCAGGCTCTAAGAAGGAGCATTACCACAGGGGCTTTATCCTGGGTGGCACGCTGGCTGAGTGGATAGCACTCTCACTTCTTAGCAAGAAGGTCCTGGGTTCAAATCCCGGTCGGACCGAGTGCTCCGGTTTTTCCTACCACTAAAAACATGCACAATAGGTATGAATTATAATGAGAGAGTGATTGGATGGTGTTGATTGGGGGCTGATGCGCCAGTGTGTTCGGCGATTCACTTCCGTCATCACCGTGTGTGGAATGATTGGAACAATATCTGAACTCTGAACATTGTAATTACATTACTTACTTACTGTCAGACTGTACAATAATTCAGTTGCACTAGGACTAAAAGAAGGTCAGCTCCACCATACTATTTGATGCGTCAATAATATTTTTCTCAAGTTCATTTTATGTTAATGTTATGGCCTCTTAATGGAGCAAAGGGTTTTAATCGACCCCAAAAATGTCCCCAATGCTCAGAAGGACCAGGCCAAGACCCTGGATGCTTGTTGACCTAAAAGTGCAGTGACTGGTTCTGGTGACATTCTTTTGGACCATCTGCTGGTTCATCATCTAAATCCAGATTAATTGTTAAAGCACATGGACATCAGCTCCAGATATTGTTTTTAACTGGAAAAAAAAGCATTTTCAGATGATCAAGGAGCCATTGGAGCAAGTCATTCCTTAGGCTTTTTTGACATTTTTAGAAATGTTGGATTTTAGGATTAGTAGATTGCTTACCCCAAAAAAAGGTTATGTGTGCACAAATTAATCAAGTCAGTTTACATCTTTTGAACCAGATCTCAGAATCATTTCCGCCTAAATGAACCAGACTTGGTCAAGATAAATTGAACCAAATAAAAAGAGATTCAAATAGTACCAGCATTCATATTTTAATATTGTAAAGGATAAGATAGAGCCTCCATTGGTCTGCGGCCTCCTTTCCACACTCATTGTGGAGTTGGTTTCAGCAGCTCTTTCCCTGCGTCTCATCTACAATCAAAGCCTAAACATCCATTCAATTAGAGGATAATGACTTTGAGCTCAGACATGTTTAGAATTCCTCTTGGTCGGATGGACACAGGACTGCAGCTGAGCCAATAACGTGTTTACAGACGAGCCCCAACCTCGCTGATGGCCTCTCAGGGAAAATAACTGTTACTGCACAATACTGCAACTCCAGATCAATTACATAGTAGTGGGCTGGGTAGATTGTCATGGAAGCAGTTACATAATTTTGAATATAAATATTTTGTTTATACAAATTTTATGCTGCAAGGGTGGACACAGAAAAACAACAAAATCTGGAAAGGGAAAATTGAAAGAAACATTTTCTTATTGTCTCTATCCGTATTGTCACGTGTGGGTTACTAAAACGGGTCGAGCACATGTTTTTTGTCTTGGCTGCAAAGATAAGGATGATGTCTGATGACCAGTGCATATCAGACTTAAAAGTCTTGCTCTTTTTCTTGGCCAAATCAAGAGCTTCCATGTTTCATAAAGTGCCCCCATGTGTCATAGAGTGCCCATACTTGCATGCAAAAGCCAGATGCCGTCAGACCTGTGAAGCTGTGCAGGACAGGGCCTGGTTAGGACTGGGATAGGAGTCCTCTGGCTGTGGCTGTAAAGTGCCGAACTGTTGTTGTGTCCTTAAGCAAGACATGTCACCCACATTGCCTAGAATTAGTTTGGTGTGTGTGTAAAAGGCTGGTGGTGGTCAGAGGGGCTGATGGCACATACTGATTGCCTCGCTTCAGTCAGTGTGCCCCAGGACAGCTGTTTATTATCACATGTGCTTGGAGTGAAAGAATAACATCATGTGAAGTGTCTTTGAGTGTCCTGAAAAGCGCTATATAAAACCAATGCATTATTATTATTTTTATTATACTCAATAGGAGAGAGGATTTTTGTTCATGAATTTGGATGCAACTTATGCATTACCTTCAGTGATATCTGAGGATGTTTCAGCGCTCATCCCAATGGAGCAGTAGCCTGCCCATGTCCACTCCTCCTCCCCTCCACACCTCCAGAGCCAGCCGCGAGGAGGCAGCTGGATCCTCCCCTCACTTGCAGAGACCAATTCAAGTTCTGATGCCGTCTAAAATCTAATCAAAATGTAACATGTCCCTGGCTATTTGCTTGTACCACAACCAAAAAGCTTCTGCATGGCAGGAGCTGCACTCTCAGGACTGCTCAGAAAGTTTTGAAGAAATACGGTGGCAGCAAGTCTTGACAGCTACTTCTAAGAAATCGCTCTTTGAGTCACTATTTGACTCTTTGGGTTGAGATCTGATTGGTTGAGTGAGCGTGGTCCTGCCTTGGACACAGGATGGACACAGGAACTACTGTAGTTAGATGGATTTCATTACATTGTTAATTGTTTTTTTTAATTTGAAAATCAGGTACTCCAACTTTACCTCAACACGTTGTAATTCTATGTTCTTTGAGTCATCTAAGAGCAGCTCTCAAAATGCAGCTCCAGTTCTGCAAATTCTCAGCAGATCACGGCATTGAAAGTTCCCAGATGTTGCGAAAGGCGGAGAGTCGATTGTTTGTCGGCGAACACTCACTCACACCAGTACACTCACTTACCCATACTCACATAAACATTCACTCATGCACACTCACTATCACACACACACACACTCCCACCTGCCCAGGCCGTGCGGCGGAGCCAGAGCGTGGGGCCCTGCCTCGCATCGATCGGTTGTTGTTGCAGCTGAGGGCCGTGATGGTTTGTTTAAAAGCAGCTCCACATGCGGTGGAGGTGGGGGGTGGGCGAGTGTGTGATGGTGGGGGCAGCTGAATACATAAAACGGGGCTCCCGCAGTCGCAGCCGCTTCCATGACGGCCTGGACGATCGAAAGCAATTTACGTATGGCTCGGTTTGCGGCAGTTCTTCTTGCTCTTCCCCACACTGGAAAGCACAGAGCTGTGTAAGTGACATGTTGTGATGGGACATTCTACTGAGGAAGTCAAGCTAACAACCTCGAGATGCACTTTTAAAGCTTGTGTACCCAACTTTCACGCAACAAAAACATTATAACTATTGTAATACAATGTCACATTCTCTTCTATCGAATATTTAGATAATCTTTTTCAGATAGAAGTCTGAAAACTCCTTTCAAAGCTTGAATTTATCTGTTAAACTTAAGATAAGAGAACCTGGATCTGTGTCACAATGGGGAAATGTCAATGTTGCAGTACACATAGAGGACAGACACAAGAAGCCCACAAGTAGCACATAACATATGCAGCGATATGATATAGAGCTGTAATGCTTCTTAATGGGGGCAACAAACATAATCTGGATTTGCGGAGTATGGACAGAATAAACAAATAAAGTAGGTAAAATGACAATATTCAAAAAATGTTTGCATTTACAGGCTCAGCAGTTCTCATTCTACTAATTTAATCATGTTTGGTAACCAATCCAAACCTCATCAAAATGGTTGGTATGTCATCTACAATAGAGGCAAGCTTCTTATTAAGTGATATAATAATATCCATAGGGAGGAGAAAAAACAAGAGTCATTTTAATTCACACCTATGACAAATTGTAGTGTTATAAAAGTGGAATAGAAAATTAATATACCTTCTTTTATTAACTATTACAAACCGTAATTATTATTTTGATATTGTTGGTAATGCATTTCAAAATTCTGTTCAAACCAGACAGGAGTCTCATGTTTGTATGGCTGAACCAAAAATGATAGTAGTTTTACAATAAGCAAGTCTTGATGTGAAAATATTTTAAGCAAGGCCAAACTCTAAAATGGAAATGGAAAAAATGCAATGACACAAGAACATCAAACATTCAAAATGATGAAGGTCTTGCATCATATTTCTACTCATCATTCCAGAACTATTGTGTAAATGAGACAAGCTTTAGCCTTTGTTTACTTTAGGGTTGCTGTACATCCAAGGAGACTGAAACACATAAGAACTTTGATAATTGTAGGCTGAAGTTTTGATGAGTTAAAGGTTGAACATATGTACAAGTTTGCTTCATTGTGAACATTGTGAGCACATGCCATTTGAAAGGATCTCCACAGTCCTCTCTGTTGTCCGGGCTGATAGGTCTGGTCCGGATCCGGAGCATGGTGCCGGAGGACAGGCTGACTTCCTGCAGCTGTTCCCCTCACAGGAAATGAACACTTTGACTTTGGACTGCATAATACATGCATTATCATAACTCTTGAGTGTTGTTTTTTGGGGGGTTTCTGAACGTGATAAAGTTGGAGTTATAATGATTATCACAATTCCTTGGACATTGTTTGTGTTCCCGGATTAAATTTTCTTCTATTTTCAAAAATAGATCTGGGGCCTCATATACTGATCAAAAATGTATACTCTTTTGTTTTGTTATTTATTTTATAAAACTCTATAACAAGCATGAATACAGCACAGCTGTAAAAAGCCTCTCTAAGATGTCCGGCTTGTGTGTGGGTCTCTGGGGGAGACCAGTCGATATGGAGTGACCATAGTATGGACAATGTTAACTCACTTATATTGAAGAAAACCCCTCAGTCTCTGTATGCGTCACGCTCAATAATCTATGGCTTAATGCTGTATGATTAAGCGCACAAATGATCCTTGTGTTTTATTGGGATATTATCTTTGTAAATCAAGATTTGTCCCCAAACAACATGACCAGTCAGGAGCCTTCTGTCCCCAATTTTGAATTTAGAATAGTGAATAGTGCAAGAGGTGGCAGACGAGTGCCCTCTTTTATTGACTCTTGGATGTAGTTACTACCCACTAATGCACAAATATTTGGCGCCACATTGCCGCTTAAACAGTCCCTTTGAGTTAACTCTAATCTGTGTCTTCCACAATAAGACAAAAAAACCAGCACTTAGTCCACTCCTTCTTTAGTCTGTGACTGCAACCTCTATTTTCTTCACACGGTAAAACACAGTTCCTTCTGAGTTGACCAGATTGTGGAATGTTGGTCAACTCTTCCATGACTGCGTGAAGAAATATAATATTGGCAGGAACTGGAACACCCTATTATGTATAGCGATCTAGCATAAACAGTACACCATTGAAATCAAATCATTCACCCAGAGAACACCACTCATCCCACCTATCAACATCCAAAATGCACTAGAATGCCATTATATCCCTTCTACTTTCCTTCCCACAAATAGAGAAAAATCAGATATATGGAAACTAACTCTCCTGTCATGGCTCTATCAAAACCTCCTTTTATCCAAACCCTACACTCCATAAGTCCACATGCTCACAGGCCGTCCCAGCCTCTGCCCTCACTCTTGTCCCAGGCTCAGTTCTATTGAAGGCATCGCCAGCAGATGGTCAGAGCGGCTCAAATAGCAAAGGTAATTAGCCGGGATGTCAAAATACAAGTCTGCGCTGTGTTCAAGTACGTGCAGAGAGCAGGGGAAAAAGCGATTTGATTGTGGAGGCGATGTGGGAGCACTCTCAGAGGTCCTCTGCAGACACATGATTGGTTTGTCTTCAGAGTGGACAAGGTGCAGATAAATATAATGGGATGGCAGATGTTGCGTTCCAGAACACGTGGGAAAACCAAGACAAACATCTCCAGGTTTGCTGGTGCATTTTGGGAAACAATACACTATTGTCACTAATGCTATTTAATCTATTTATTGTGGTTGCTATGGTGTGTCTGTACCCATGTAGGCATCCAATGTCCAAACAATAACCCAACCAATCATTTCAATTCAATTCAATTCAATTAGTTTTATAGCACTAATTCACATCAGCAGTTGTCTCTGAGGACAAAATTGTCAATTTGCCAACAACAGATTAGATTTATTTTCTTTAATTATTGTTTATTTGGTTGGGACAGTACATGTTAATGAACACATCACTCCGGATTGTAGCCATGGGCTAATTTGCATCCGTTGTCCCACATTCGCACTCACAAACACACACTCATTCACCCTGAACTATTGTGCATGTTTTTAGTGGTAGGGGAAACCGAAGTACCCGGAGGAAACCTACGCAGAACATGCAAACTCCACTCAGAAAGGCCCTGTTCCTACTGGGATTCAAACCCAGAACCTTCTTGCTGAGACGTGCTACCCCACTCAGCCACCGTGCCGCCCCCGTGTATATGTAATCAAACAATGTGGCACGGTGGCTGAGTGGATAGCACTCTCGCCTCTCAGTACTCCGGTTTCCCCTACCACTAAAAACATGCACACTAGGTTAATTAAATCCTCCAGCTCTGGTAGTCATGACCAAGCCGAGCATCAACATCTGGAGATGGGTTCCTGGGCACTGTTCTACAGTGACCACTACTCCTGACGTAAGCCTTGTATAGGGGCATCAGGATGGGTCTATTGCAGAGGATGACCTGCCCCACGGGGATCACTGTAACATACAGTAATAAACTATGGAAGACTTAGGTACAGAGTAAATCTTAAATATAGTCATCGAAACTACAATGTTCGTCTCACATGTCATGCCTTTAAGGTGGGGGTAGGCCAGTAGTGTGTCAAACAAGACCAGTAAGTTTATGGAGACTTACAGCTTATAAAACATTAAAGGGATTGTAAATATAGAATATATTTGCATTGTAATGATGGCTGGAGAAGTGCTTCTACTGTGAAACCAGCCCTGCCTACCAGTCCCCCTTTCTGTATGAATGCTCATAATTGCCCCTAAATTAATGTTGGCAATTTCTTTACATTTTTACATGATGCAAACATGTGTGTTTGCATCATGTAATAAGTTGCATTAGCATAAATATGTATCTTTGTTATTTTGAAATTAAGATACTATAATGTTCTGACATTGGTCCACACTTTTTGTTTAATATATTTCTGTTCCAACAGAAATCAGAACAAATCAGAGCATCTAATTAGAAAACAAGTTATCTTTTGCATACTTATATAAAGAGCCACTTTGAGCTGACTTCCTCCTTATTTTTCCATTCAGATAAAGTTCCCATCACTATATTGTGTGTGTGTGTGTGTGTGTGTGTGTGTTGGTATTCCTATCGTTATGGGGACATGTTTCTGTTTACACAGTCACGCCATGGGGACCTCTGACACCATGGGGACCAAAATTGAGGTCCCCATTAGGGAATGCCTTTTAAATGAATGCAGGAGCCATTCTGAAGTCATGACGTCATTTCTTTTCCCAAAATCAACAAT